CTTTTGACATCTCCCTATAAAGTTTAGAATCAGCCTACCATTTCCTACTACAGATACATCTCCTAGAATTTTTGACTAGGGTTATATTAAATCTAAGAGTGAGTTTGGGGATTATTGATATCTTTAGAATATTGAATCTGCCAGTCCATTAAAGTGTTCAATCTCTTTGTGTCTTTTATATCTCTGATTGTGTGTGTGTTTGTGTTTATCTCTTGGCCTTGCTCATCTTTTGTTAACTTCATTCCTGTTTATTTAATATTTTCAGATGCTTTTGTAAAAATCAAGTATTTTTAAGCTTTATTTTCTAATGATACGTTGCTTATTTATAGAAATACAACTGATTTTATATTAGTTTTATATTCTGAAACTATGTTGAATTCTCTTATTTCTTCTCATAGTTTAACATGTAAATTATTTTGTATTTCTTTCATATAAAATCATGTCTAAGGCAAATACTGTTATAATTTTTGTTTTTGATTCTTCTTATGATTATGAAATATATTTTAAAACAGTTGTAGCATGTCTTTTATGTCTTTATTTCTAATAAACTTCTGGCTATAGAGAAAAATAAAATAATCACTTGAACTCCCACCATGATCAGTTCTTATCAGTTAAACTGTATTGATCTCTCCAGACATTTTAGATAGTTTTTAGCATTGGATCATAAAGGACATACAATTTCAAAAATGCTATTCCCATTTAAGTATGTCATGGACACTTTTCCATGACAATATTCTTTTGTACAACTGTGAATTGCTGTTAAAATATTATAATCTTTGAATATAATATGTCTTATGATTACCATTGAGCATATTTATTTTTAATTTTTTACTGTTATGAACAACACTGTATTGAAGAGACTTATGGATGGATATATGTGGTGCTGTGTGTTTATTTATTTATTTTTGACATAATTTTGTGAGGTAAAATTCCTAGAAGTAGGCTTTCAGGGTCAAAAAATATAGGCTTTTGAAACTTGCTGCCAAATTGCCTTTTAGAAATTCTGTATAAATTCTCATTCACACCAGAAGTATATGACTTTTCAAACACTAGCCTTTGTTGAAATTTTTTTTTTTTTTTTTTTTTGGTGACACTCTCCTAACAATTTTTGTCTTCCATTCCTTTTACTTTATTTTATTTTTTTAAACTGCAAGATTTTCAAATTGGAATACCCAATACACTCTTCTACTTTTGTGGAAGAGGAGAAAAGCCTGAAAGATTTGAGTGACATGTCAGTTGCTGACCTACTGACACCTTTTCAGTTTTGTTTCCGCGTATCTATTTTTATCTGAAAGGACACTCACACTGTTTTCAAGACAATAAATAAAGTTACTCTTATTTTCTTGGTAAACAGACCAAGACTTCTCATCTAACAATAAAATAATGTATTAAGTTCTTATCTTTCCTGACATGATATGAACAGACTGTTACTCTTTTTCAGTCCTCAAAAGATTTCTATGTAGTAGAGATAGCAGGTGGAGCACAAATACTGGGCTCCTCCTCCATGTAACACTCCCTTGCTTTCCCTAGACACAGTTTAATTTAGTTATACAAATCTTAGTTGCACACCTTGTTTGTTTTGGGTAAAGGTGAATAAGATACAATTCCTGTTCTTAAGGAGGGGTTTCTAAGGCACATCCATCTTTTTCTATAATAACTTTTGCACATGGCACAACACAACTTATTTACAAGTCTTTACACTTAATTAGATTGTGACTTTATTTATATTTCTGTTCTGAACTTACCAAAATGCCTGAACATATATAGTCTTTCTTTGGCAAATTATTTAACCTCCTTAGCCTTCAGTTTTCCCATCTGTATCATGAAAATAAATATATTATCTGCCTCATGCTATTATTGTGACAAACTCCAGTAATAGATATTCTAATAGCATTTGGTGATTGGCGGAAAGAGTAGATAATCAACCAATCAATGAATCAATAAAAATGACATCAATAAATGGCAGCTCTTATTCCTACTAGAAGTTTAAAAAATCCTGAAATCATTACTATTTTAAGTGTCTAGCTAACCATTGGCCTTGTATTCCATTCTTTGTGGATTAACAACTACTTGTACTTTTAGTAGATTTTAAAGTTAATTCAACTTGTAATTAAAGTGATTTATAATTGTAAGTGGCAAAAAGGACCGATTAAAGTGTTTTTGGGTTGGTGAGAGCTTGAAGCTTTTATGTTCTGTTCTATTCCTTTTCTTTTTCTTCCTCGTTTCTATTCCCAGGTCTCTGCCAGCACAATGAAGTTTGTATGTATTTGTGAAACAATTTTCATTAATATTTTCTCTGACTTCATCTCTAGGGAAAGAGAATAGAAACTACTACTCTCTGTTGTTGCTATAGCTTAATTAAAGGTGTCAAAATCTATCCTCTCCTTCACCTCCCCCACCCCCCCCACACATACACACACACACATCAGGAAAGAAGGTAGCAACCTGAAATCTTGAAATCCTCTTTGGAAAGGTTAGCTCCTTAGTGCAACAGTCTTAGAACTTTTTTTTTTTTTTTTTTTTTTTTTAAGAAGTCCTTGCATGCCATTTCTGTTCTTCACTCATGAAAACCTCTTCGTTCCCACCATTTTCTATGGTGGGTGGCTCAGCTGATAAAGAAAAAGTATCTGTTGTACAAATTTTATATGTAGTTAGTTAACCCGATAATGCCCTTTCTTCTTAATCCCTGTTAAAACCCTTAATTAAGCTTGTTTGGACCTTTATCACAAGTGAACTGTGAACAAGTGTCATTTACACAAGTACCAGGGAAATGTGGCCTATTCCTTTGTAAATTATTGTTCCAAAGTGGTATGTGAGACTAGAAGTTCATACATTTTTTAAGAATTTGTTCTGGGAAATCATTGCGTATTGAGAAGAGTTATGATCTGCAAGCGCCTTAAATATTGGGATGAAGATAACTTTTTTATGATAACATATCAAAGGTGTCTAACCAGTTGATTTACTTTTTATTCTTCATATGCAAGACCAGTTTCTCTTAACATGTGCATACAAAAGTAAAACATATTCTTAAATCAGTAGTTTTTGTATAATTTTTTAAAAATTTGAATATTATGGTTTATGTCCCTTTTATGCATTGAATATTTGAACCTTAATTTGGAAAAGAAAAATGTGCTGCTTAAGCATTACTTTCGCGGTAACTGTAATGAAACTGGACACAATTGCATATTTTCACTTTGCCATAAATCAATAGCCTTTTAACATTATCATAAGAAGTTTTCCTTGTTTTCTTAAAACAGCAGCATTTTGTTAACCTTAATCAGAGCCTGACGTGTGTTTCTTCTAAACGGCGTCTGATGTGGTGTGTCTCTTCGGTTCTCTGTGGTTTCCTGTTTTTTTCATACATAGAGGAAAGCCTTTTGATGTATTCAGCCTCATATTTTTCTTTCTTTTAGTGGTATATCAAACCTAAACTTTCTTATAAAATAGCATAGTATCGTCAGCCTGCCCCACCATTCATTTATTTGTCTTGCCGTAGATCACTCCTCTGAATTCCTCCAGTACTTCCTTGTATATCCCACCCCACCCCACCCCAGGTATTTTTTTTTTTTTTAAGTATTACACGTCTTATTTCTACCCCGTGTGTATCTTTATCAGGGACAGATGGTATCGTGTATTTTCATAATTGTATTTATCCACAGTGCCTTAGCAATTAGGAGATCAGTGACTCTCAAAGTGTTGCCCCCAGATCAGCCAGCAGCGTCAGCATCACTTGGGAACTTGTTAGAACTTTAAGTTCTCCAGCCCCACCTCAGTCATAGTGAGTTAGAATATTCTGGGTTGCGGACCAGCAATTTCTGTCTTAACAAGCCCTTCAGTGATCCCTATGAATGCTCAAGTTTGACAACCACTGCAGTAGATAATTACTGAATGAATATGTAATTGTACACTTATGGCAATGCTTCACCGGGAGGATTAGTATAGCATAGGGCCAACGTACTCCATTCTGCCCGAGTCTTTTACTTCTTAAGAGATACTAATAAAGAAAAACCTAAGGCTTAAATATTTATAATCTCATAAGAGGGTATGTATAGCTCTTATGATGTCCTATTGTGAAAACAGCAGCTTAAAATTTTAAAAACGTGAATGATTTCTTTCTTTCACCTATTCAGGAGTAGGCATTTAACATTCCAAAAGGAGGAAAATGAACTAAGGGAGGAATAATGAGTATTACTTATTTTCATGGTGGGTTAGGAGGTGGTGAGTGTCAGAAACTGGTCAGGTGGAGGACAGACTGGGAGACTTCCTTGGATATCATTTTTTTTCCTCTTCTAAATTTTTAAACTATGTAAATCTGTTACTTAATAAAAATTTTGCTGCATGATATTTAAGAAAAATAAAAAGTTTTGAATAAATATGTTTCTATATGCTAGCCAGTGTTGTCGGTTAAACAATTTAAAATTTCCCTTTGTATTAATACAAAAAGTTAGATAATGCACTCTTTTTCTGCAGAATACAAGGGGGGTAATGGCTAAAATGCCTTCCTGACTTTCCACCTGAGCTTTCTCAAAATGGTGGATTACTCTTTTGTGCCATGAATAAAGAATTCCTATTATTGTGTGCACCCATAGTCTTAGAGTTATTTTAAGGAAATAAAGAGGGGGAAATTTTAACTTGATTCAAAGGCAAATGATCTTATGTACACAAGGGGTCAGACACACAGAACTTTGACCTCATCCTTTCTTTTGGATGTATTTTTGGAAATATCTTGATAGCCAAGGATTGTTTGAGAGAGAAATTGACTTAGATTTTTGTCCCATTCTTAGCAAATGGAAAATAAGCCAGTTAGCAAAACCCATTACCGGTGTTCTAAATTATGAACAGCTATTAGTCTTTTTTGTCAACTATTTGTCTTTTAGTACAAATGCAATTGATTATATTAATGTTATGATTGAACTGTGCTGTTTCAGTGGAAGCTAGTCTTAAATGACACTTGATTCAATTCCTTTTTTTTTTTTTTTTTTTTCCTTTTCCTTGCACAGAACTATTGTACCATGGAAAGTATTCAGACAGTGCCTTCATGAGGTTCATCAGATTAGCTCTGGCCTGGAAGCAATGGCTCTGAAATCAACAATTGATTTAACTTGTAATGATTACATTTCAGTTTTTGAATTTGATATTTTTACCAGGCTTTTTCAGGTAAGCTTCCTATGTGCTTCATCCTTTCCTCTCTCCTGATCTCCCTCCCTGTGTGTGCATGGGAGGTGCATGGGTTCATTTGTGTGTACGTGTGCATGTACAGCTCTCTCACAGACACAAACATATGAGAAATCATCTCATTTTTGGTAGTCTCTAATTTTGAAGTCGCTGGTGTAAGTTTTTGGTCACTGCTGTATCACTGCTGTATGCTGAGGGCTTAAGTTCGAAGGACCAAGTGGTATGAGGCTGGTGATTGCTTGTTAGCTTTGAGAAGATTCAGGCAGAAGAGCTTGGTTTCTGAATTTCCTATTTAGTTTTTCATTTTAATTTGTCTTTTTAGCCCGGTGACTAACAGAATGCAAATTTTACAGGTGGGTGTTTGCTGAGGTTGTATCCCAACTTCTCGAACCCTTTGTCTCCTACATTCATTTGGTGAAAAAGGAAATAGTAAACTTGGCCATAAAGAGTAAATTTATCAGGTTCTCTCTAGGAGATTCCAATGGTGTATACTGTTTTACAACTTATATTGCTCATTCAATCATATGTTATAAACATTTTTTCATGTCAGTAAATCTTTTTCATTAATAAAATTATTAATTTTCATTTGCTACATTTAATTTAACAAATTCCTCTTTTGGAAAATTTAGGCTTTGTTTTTGTTTTTCCTTTCTTGTTTCTTCACTAATATGTATGACTGTGACATTAACCTTCTAGTCCTGTTGTTTTTATTTTTTAATCTGTCCTTTATAAATTTCTTCACATAGCTTTTCAGAAGCAAGTGTCATTGAATGATGAAAGCTGGATGCTATCATTTTATTCTTTTGTAGATCTTCATGGAATTAGACATGAAGACTTGAAATTTGTGTCTTGAATTTGACTCTGCCACTAAATTGTATATCATCTATGACATTCAATTCAAGTAGTCACACAATGAAAGAATTCCACTTAAAATCTTTATGATTGTAGTAATATAAATTCTGTAGTAAGTGAGGTAAATTGATCAGAAAACAGACTTGCTTGTATTCTGCTGCAATTTTTTTATTATTTTAGTTTGTAGTAAGATTTATTCTGTTTGAAACATGCTTTCAACAAATTTTGGAGTATAATATTGGTTTTCATGTTTCCCTTGTTATAAGAATTTCCCTTCTCTGATTTATGATTCTCCTTTTACAAGGATCTGGTGACTGATTTATGTAAGAAAATCAAATTGTGTGGGATTAACTTTTAATTTATGAAAGGACCTGTTAACAGAAGGCAAATTAACTCTTGTCAACCATACTTATAGAATACATTTTATTTTATTACAACTTTAAGATCATAATTCTACCTGGGTGTATAGGATAAGAAACTAGATTAATGATTGCAGAAATTGTGCTTTTTGCTTTTTTTCAGTTTACACTAGTTTCATGATTATTCCCTTGGTATATATAGGCACATCTAGGAGATGCTACAGGGTCATTCAGTTCCAGACCAGTGCAATAAAGTGAATATCACAATAAAGCAAGTCAGAATTTTTTTTCTTTTGGTTTTCTAGTGCATCTAAAAGTTACATTTACACTATACTGTAGCCTATTACATGTGTAATAGCATCATGTCCTAAAAAAGCAATGTATACACCTTAATTTAAAAATACTTCATTGGTAAAAAAAAAAAAAAAAAAAGCTGACCATCACCCGAGCTTTCAATGAATTGTAATCTTTTTGCTGGTGGAGAGTCTTTGCCTCAGTGTTGCTGACTGCTAACTGATCAGGGTGGTGAAGGCTGGAGTGGTTGCAGCCATTTCTTAAAATAAGATAACAATGAAGTTTGCTGCGCTCATTGATCTTCTTTCACCAACAGTTTTTCTGTAGCACATGATACTGTTTGAAAGCATTTGACCCACAGTAGTACTTTCAGTATTGGAGTCAATCCTCTCAAACCCTGCTGCTGCTTTATCAACTAATATTCTAAATCTTTTATTGTCATTTCAGCAGTTTTCACAGCATCTTCACCAGGGATACATTCTCTGTCCAGAAACTATTTTCTTCACCCATTCCTAAGGAGCAACTCCTCAGCCTTTACAGTTGTTATCATGAGATTGCCGTAATTCAGTTCCATCTGCAGGCTCCGCTTCTAATTCTAGTTCTCTTGCTGTTTCCACCACATCTACAGTTACTTCCTCCACAGAAGCCTTAAACCCCTCAAAGTCATCCATGAGAGCTGGAATCAACCTCTTTCAAACTCCTGTGAATATTGGTATTTCGACCTCTTTCCATGAGTCACAAATATTCTTAATGGGATCTAGAGTAGTGAATCCTTTCCAGAAAGTTTTCAGTTAACTTTGCCCAGATCCATCAGAGGAATCACTATCTAAGGAAGCTACAGCCTTACAAAATGTATATTTTTAGTAATAAGACTTGAGGGTGCCTGGGTGGCCCAGTGGTTGAGCATTCAGCTCTTACTTTTGGTCCAGGTCATGATCTCATGGGTCATGAGATGGAGCCCTGCATCAGGCTCCACACTCAGTGGGGAGTCTGCTCCAAGGACTCTCTCCCTCTACTCCTCTCATGCTCTTTCTCTCTCTTTCAAATAAAAAAAATCTTTAAAAAAAATAAAAAGACTTGAAAGGTGAAATTATTCCTTGATCCATGGGCTGTTGTGTTGACAAGAATGAAAGTAATTAATCTCATTGTACATCTCCATCGGAGCCCTTGGATGACTGTGCATCAACAACAAGCACTGATATTTTTGAAAGGGAGCTTTTGCCTGGAGAAGTATGTCTAAAAAGTAGGCTGAAACTCTTCAGTAAACCAGTTTGTAAACAGGCGGGTTGTCATCCAGGCTCTGTAGTTCCATTTCTAGAGCACAGGCAGAGTAGATATAGCATAAATCTTGGGCCCTAGAATTTTCAGAATGGTAAATGAGCATGGACTTCAACTTAAGTCACCAGCTGCATTAGCCCCTAACAAGAGAGTCAACCTGTCCTTTGAAGCTTTGAAGCCAGGAACTGACTTCTCTTCCCTAGCTATGAAAGTCCTAGGTGTCATCTTCTTCCAACAGAAGGCCGTTTAATCTCCACTGAAAACCTCTTGTTTAAGGTAGCCACCTTCATTAGTGGTTATAGCCAGATCTTCTGGATAACTTGCTGCAGCTTCTACATCAGTCAGCACCTGCTGCTTCACCTGGCACTTTTATGTTACGGAGATGGCTTCTTTCCTTAAACCTCATGAGCCAACCTCTGCTGGCAGTTCTTCCGCAGTTACCTGACCTTCTCAGCCTTCCTAGAATTTCTTCCGCAGTTACCTGACCTTCTCAGCCTTCCTAGAATTAAGGAGTTAGGGCATTGCTCTAGATTAGGCTTTTGTTTAAGAGAAGGTTATGGCTGGTCTGGTCTGCTCTCCAGACCAGTGAAACTTTCTTTGTATCAGCAATAAGGCTGTTTTGCTTTCTTATCATTTGTGTGCTCCTTGGCCTAACACTTTTCATTTCCTTCAAGAACTTCTCCTTTGCTTTCACAATTTGGCTGTTTGGTGCAGGAGGCCTAGCTCTCTGTCTGTGTTGTCTTTCAGCTTGCCCTCCTCGTTCAGCTGAATCATTTCTAGTCTTTGATTTAAAGGAAGCTAAGTGTGAGGACTTTCTTTCACTTGAGCATGTAGAGGACATCATAGGGTTATTAATAGGCCTAATTTCAATATTGTTGTGTTTCAGGGAATAGAGAGCCCAAAGAAAAGGAGAGAGATGGGGGAACAGCTGGTCAGTGGAGCAGTCAGAACACACATTTATGGGTTACCTTTAACATCTTATGTGGGTGCAGTTTGTGATACCCCTGAAAATTTATAGTAGCAACATTAAAGATCACAGATTACTATAACAGATAGAATGATGATTTAAATATCTGAGATATTTTAAGAATCACCAAATATGGCATGCAGTGGTGGCTCAGTCAGTTAAGTGTCTGACTCTTGACTTTGGCTTAGGTCATGATCTCAGGGTCCTGATATCAAGCCCCGTGTCTCGGGCTCAGTGCTCAGTGGGGAGTCCGCTTGAGATTCTCTCTCCCTATCCCGCTGCTCCTCCCCCTGCTTGCTCTCTCTCTCTCTCTCTCAAAGAAATAAATGAATCTTTAAAAAAAAATTTACCAAAATAATGTCAGAGACTTGGAGTGAACAAATGCTATTGGAAAATGGTGCATGATAGAATTGTTCAGTGTAGGGTTACCACAGAACTTCAGTTTGAAAAAAACAAAAACAACAACAATAAAGTATCTATGAAGTGCAGTAAAGCAAAGCACAATAAAACGAGGTATGCCGGTGTACGCCATTAGCTTACTCTTCTCAATGATTTTAATGATACATTTTGTAAAAAGATTATGTTAGCCGATACTATTTTTATAGTATTTTATAATACCATTTTATAATAGAACCTCTCCTTTCTGTAAAGGTTTTTGATAATTTTACAATAGTTCATTTCACATAACACAAAGACATTTAAAGTAGTAGAAGTTTTGTTTCTTTCCCTTGTGAAAGAAGAGAAAAAAATTATTTTCCTGCCTTAAACCTAACTGTTCATTCTAGGAAGAGTGTGTTTTTTATGGGGAGCCTGGATGACTTTTTAAATACTAGAATGCCTCAGTTATATGTGAAAGTTATGCGGGCACCTTAATGTTGGTTAAACACTTATCCCAACTGTTATTTAATATGTGCACATATTTTCTTATAAGCTGTTTCATTTAAAAACAGTGCAGGTAATCTTAATACTCTAAGTTATGTGTGTCTTATTTATGTTTCCTGAGATGAGAGGAAAAGAATCATTTTAAGTAGAGTTACCATGAAAAAATTTTTTATTTATTTTTTGTTATGTTATGTGAGTCTCCCTACAGTACATTATTAGTTTTTGTTGTGGTGTTCTGTGATTCATTTTGTGTGTGTAACACCCAGTGCTCCTTGCCATACGTGCTCTCCTTAATACCCATTACCAGATATTTAAATCATCATTTTATCACCCATCCTCCTATCCGCCTCCCCTCTGAAACCCTCAGTTTGATTCCCAGAGTCCATAGTTCTCTCATGGTTCATCTCCCCCTCTGATTCCCCCCCTTCATTTTTCCCTTCCTTCTCATCATGTCCTCCATGCTATTCCTTATTTACCACAAATAAGTGAAACCATATGATAATTGTCTTTCTGTGCTTGACTTATTTCACTTAGCATAATTTCCTCCAGTCCCTTCCATGTTGATATAAAAGTTGGGTATTCATCCTTTCTGATGGCTGAGTAATATTCCATTATATTTATGGACCACATCTTTATCCATTGTCTGTTGAAGGGCATCTTGGCTCTTTCCACAGTTTGGCTATTGTGGACACTGCTGCTATGAACATTGGGGTGCATGTGGCCCTTCTCTTCACTACATCTCTATCTTTGGGGTAAATAGCCAGTAGTACAATTGTTGTACTACTCTATAGTAGGGTAGAGGGTAGCTCTATTTTTAACTTTGAGGAATCTCCACACTGTTTTCCAAAGTGGCTGCACCAGCTTGCATTCCCACCAATGGTGTGAGAGGGTTCCCCTTTCTCCACACCTCTCCAACATTTGTTTCTTGCCTTGTCAATTTTTCCTATTCTAACCGGAGTAAGGTGGTATCACAATGTGGTTTTGATTTGAATTTCCCTGATGGCTAATGATGATGAACATTTTTTCATGTGTCTGTGAGCCATTCATATGTCTTCTTTGGGGAAGTATCTGTTCATGTCTTCTGCCCGTTTTTTGACTTGTTTTTTGGTATTGAGTTTGAGAAATTTTAAATAACAAAACCGAAAAATACCTGTGGACCAAACATGCCTAGTCTCTTTTATTTTTTCATTTTTTTTTTCCTGTCTCTTTTAAAGGATATAATTGTGGAAGTAAATGAATAACTCTCGTTAGCTCCGTTACACCTCTGTGATTCTTCACTTCTTTTGGTTTCATTATTCAGATGCTTTAACTAATCATACATGTACCTTAAAATTAGTTTCATGCATAGAAAAGTAAATGTATTAACTTTTACTGATATTTTATTTTTATACAACTTTAAAAATTGAGTAGTAGGTTTTAAGTTATAATTATGCATCCTGTATGAAAAATATTTTATGAGTACTGTAACTGAATGAACATATATTCCTCTGCTGTCACAGTGGTGATGGTTCATTAGCAGTGAATTCTAACACCTCTAAGTTGGTGGTAGTGGGATATTTAGCAGAATGGGCTCTGAAAGTGGGTGAGGTACATGCTCAAGATTAGAATCTCACATAGCAGAAGGGTTGGAGAACTCATCACTGGGGACTAGGAGATGAAGTTGAGAATTGTCTGGGAAATGAAAGAAGGGAAGAAAAGACCATAAAGCTGGTTACTAGTTACGTTCTTTTCCTTGCTTCCCTTATCCTCACATTCTGCGAGAACTTGAACAAATGCTGGGAAGTCATTGGAACAGTCTTGCAGTGGCTACCTCCCTCATTTCCTCTTTCTTCTGCCTTTAATCTTCTCTTTCTCCTCTCCAGGTAGTTCAGAGATGTTGCGATTGGCAGGTGCTAAAATCCTGGAACGGAAATAGGGGGATTTTTCTTCTCTTTTCCCTCTCCCTGGGGCTTTTGCTCTGCTTCTCCTTCCATTTCCCCACTACTAGAGAAGATTGGGTTACTGAGAAATGGGGCAAGAGATCTGAGGGGTGGTGGCATAAGGAATATGTGATTTGGGGGAATCTATTTGTGACTATGGAATAGGGAGCAAAACAAGAAGAGGAAAGTCATCTGTTATAGTGAGGAATAAGAGAATGGATCTGGACAGACCAGTCCAGACCCCTCTTTTAACAGAAGTTATAAATCAGTAAAGGGCTATTCTTGAAATAGTAGTATTTTGGAAGAATGGAATAGCTTCCTCAATTCACTCAATTTCTGTAGTCATTTAAGAATCTCTAAATAATTTTGTGTTAGTGGGTGTGAAAACATTTCCTTTAATCTAAAAACAAATTGCAAAAATATTCTTATTCTCCAAAGCATTTTATTTTGCCTTCTTCAAGCCATTAGTTGGCAAAATTCTTTAAGCAAAACAAAACTTAAAAAAAAAAAACAAAAACCAACAACACGTAACTACCATGTGTTTCTGAATGTGGGTTGCATTCACTAGAAAAACAGGACACAGACTCTTTCTATTACACAAATATTTTTGTAGTTAGAAGCTAGCCCTCTGGATTATGTACCAAGAAATGGTTGCTTAATACTGTAGCAGTTGGCTCAGAACTACAGTTTCTTTCTTTTTTTTTTTTTAAGTTGTATTCCGATCTGCACATTGGTTCTCTGTAAAGTTCAGCATTTTTTTAAACAACTCTTCCATTAGTTTTTGTAGACTTTATGGAAGTGACCCAAATATTTTATATTCTCTCCATCCTTGTTCTTTGTAGATGGGGAAGTAGAACAAAACAAAACAAAACCCATCGCCTCTACTAGCAGTTATTTCTCATTAAAAAATATATATATATATATACACTGATATTCCAAGTATTGTTTATGTAATTTTTAGTCATGATTTTAGATGAAAATTAGAAACACCTCCCCACCCCACCCCACCAAATACTTGGACACAACCTCTTGTAATAGTGTCCTCCAGAGCTCCTTTTTGCCCAATTAGATATTTTAGCGTGCCGGGGGAATACCCCGAAGGTTTTTCTTGTTATGTCAGAAAAGGTTAAAGATCTCTTCATTACTAAATCTTTCTTTCCCTGTTATCCTCATCTCAAGAGATATAATCCTTGAAGAATTCTGCCTTGTGAATCTGAAACTTGCTTAACAATAATGAGGAACAAGTCTCAAAGCAAACAAAAGCAAGAGCCCTCTACCAATGATCATATCTAGGATGACCACTTCAGTAACGCTCACTTGGCAACATCAAATACCTTTTTTCTTCTTTTCTATAGAAGATATGAGTTAATAATCTGGCACATCAGATAAGAGTATGCTGCCAAGTCCTTGGAATAAATGTAGCTTCAGCCTTATGTTCGAGATGATTCATGCACATCCTCAAGCAAAACTGTCTATCACTGACTGCCTTTTTTTTTCTTGCCCTGGTAACTGGAGGGGTAACTGAGCACCTGAAAGAATGGTACAAACTCGGTGTGTGTTCATTTGTGTATTTCTGTGTAAGATCTTTAACGTACTCACTACTAAATCATAAACCTTCTGTAATTGTGCAAGAATTAACCAAATGTGAGCCCAGTAGTATGTTACCATGGAAAGAATGGTAGGTTGGGAGCCAAGGCCTTTTAAACAAGTTACTAGTTAGAGGAGCTTTTCAACAATTACACCTCCCTGATCACTGTATTCTGAGACTGCATCAGTGCTGGTATCCCTTTGGTGAGCAAGACAGGCACGTTCCTTATTCTCATGTAGCTTCTGGTTAGTGTGTGACCAGTGCCAAATCACTTACATTCCTGGTATAGCTTCTTGTTCTATAAAATTAGATACCTTAAAGGTACAGAGGTGAACAAAACAGACCACGGGAGATAAGGAATATGATGAGAGCTAACAGTTTTCAATAGAGTGGTCTGAGAAGGCTTCATTGAGGAAGGAACACTGGAAAGCAATCACTTAGGTCATTGGAGGAAGAATTCTGGTAGAGGCACCAGCAAATATAAAGACTCTGGGGCAGGGGAGTACCTTTGTTTTCAAGCCCACTACAAAGAAGCCAGGGTGCCTGGAGAAGAGGCAGAAAGTAGAGAAGTCACAACAGATGGGGAGGAAAGGGAACTGGGCATCAACCCTGTAAAGTCCTTTTAGACCATTTGTAAGGACTTTGGCTTTTACTCAAAGTTAGAGGGTTTTGAACAGAAAAGTGATGTGTTTTATGTTTCAGAATTACCGCAAATGCTGTGTTGGGAATAGAATTTGTGATGAAAGTATGTAGTTTTTCTTTTTGTTCTATGTATTCTGTCCTGTTTTCTGCCTAATATCTCTCTAAAAAGAGAGCAAGGTATTGCATGTTTGCTGTTAGATGGTAAAGGTTGACCTAAGCTACTGAAGCTCAGATTCACTTAAAAAATATCTAGGAGATTTCAGTAACTATATTAAATGATGTGTTGGGGTATAATTGGTGGTTGATGTTATCTAGATAATATCTTTTCATTTATTCATATTTTTAGCCTTGGGGCTCTATTTTACGGAATTGGAATTTCTTAGCTGTCACACATCCGGGTTACATGGCATTTCTCACATATGATGAAGTTAAAGCACGACTGCAGAAGTATAGCACCAAACCTGGAAGGTAAGACTTTTCAGCAGCAATATTATGTGGTATATCTAATGAGGAAAAGTCCTCTCTTGTTCATTTTTAAGTAAATCAGTAACACCCATGGGGGCAGAGGGAAGAAAATGCTAATAGACCACATTCTTAATTGAATCCTTTTAATCCATTCATTATACTTATACTGAAACTCTGTGTTCATGTAGTGAAGGAGGATATGGTCCCATGTAATCTGATAAACTTAGAAATTCATTAAGTCTCAGTGCTCTGATTTTCAAATTGGTAGAGGGTATTGTCTGTTTCATGACACCTGTGTTTGTGTATAAAATTTTATGTGTATATTGGAATACTTGAATATTTTGCTGAAGACAAAATAAATCAGTTTCATGTTCAGTATTTTAGGGTATTTTTCAAGATCTTCAATTTGGTTCTATGATAAACACTTATAATTACATACAATATAAACAAATATAAGTACATATAAGTATACATATATGTGTATGTTGAGCACACATAAGTATATAAACATACATAAGCCCATTGTTACAATCCAACCAATTTCTTGTCCTTAAGAATTTCTTCTGAAATAAAAAAAAAAAAAAAGAATTTCTTCTGCAGTACCTTGTCATTCTTTGTAGCTTCAGAATTTATGTTTTAGTTCCCAGATGATGAAACTAGGTGAAACTCAGAGATTGGCTGTTTGGTCAGCCCATGTGGCTTTGGCTGAGATATCATACCTTATCAATGACAGATCTGGGATCAGAAAATCCGTTTCTTTCCTCATTCATGCATTGTCCCCATGTGCCATTTAGAAATGCATTACATAGTAGGCATTTGTGCTGTGGCAAGCAGTGTGCTGGGTATGGCAGTAGTGACGGTGGACACCTGTCCTCCTCATACAGTGATATTTTAGTAGGAGATGCCATCCCAACATCCACGAGTACTCTGATTTCCATATATAGGAGCACTTCATTATAGGAATGCATTTGGTTGTTTTTTTAGGGCTATGTTTTTCTGCTAATGCCATTTTAATCTAATTTGTTATGCAAATGGTGTTTGTCCTTTAACAAAGTAGTTTCTAGTACAAGCCAATACTGTCAATTCCTTTTTTTCTGCCATGATAAAAATTTCCATCTTTTTTATTTTTAAGAATGTATATGATAATATAAAAAGAAGGTAGTGGGTACAGAGAACAGTTTGGCTCCTATTGAAGACTTCTGTTTAGATTAAGGACAGTTGGTTCTCATTGAGATGCTGTCAGTGGCTTAGAGGAGTCATTCTGTTTTGGTCAGGGATCTCTCATAACCAGATTTTTCCATAACTTCTGCTCTGTAGATTGGGATCAAAGTATCTTCTTGTTTTTGGAGTCTGATTTGAATGATGTGCTGTGTTTGGAATTACACAATCATACAAATTTAATGCAGAAATTATTTATGAAATTAAGAAACTGAGTCACTTTTGTCTTTTCTTGTTCAAGATTATGGAGATAAATAATGTTGGGGAGAACACTGTTGGGAGCAAAAGCCAGGCCTCATCACTATGGGACTAGTTCTTTTAATAAAAGGACAGTGCCCTCAAAAGGATGTCTGCCTTTTCTTCCCAATTTGACCTGTAACAGTTTATTCTACTAAGTTTTTGGCAAAGATGAAATGGTCAGTCTGTGGTAAATCATTTAAAGTGTGATGTGGTATTTAAAATGCAAAGTTTAGGAAAACTCAGTGAATAGATCAAATGATTTTGATAAATACTTGTTTTGCAGAATACCTGTTTAATGGTTTCTTCCTCTTGGAAAGTGTTTCTTCTTCTTTGGCTTCATGCTACAGAAAATAGTAAGACCTATTGCAAGGACATTTGAGTTTCTCAGGTTTTGCTTTTTGGAGGGATCCAGTTGAGAACTCGAAGTCTGTGTGGAATTATTTCATCTGTGATTCTGATTAAGGGTTCCAGTAATTGGCAGGCTGATAACCTATTTCAGGCTCTGTGGAAGAATACATTTTTGGACTTTTCTTGAGGTGTTCTTTCCAAAGGTTCTAAAACAAGTGTGAAGTTCTTACTATTTAGAAATCACAACTTCCTCCTTTCCTTCGGAACCCCGTTTTCTTCAAAGATGAAATCAACTTGCAGTACCAGATACACAAGTTAATTAAACTGAATGACTGTACAGCTATTATTTATGTTAATTTATCCTGCAAAGTTATTTTTATAGTACTTGGTTCATCAGTAACTAATGTACATTAGGAGATAAAAGTTTCTGTCATGTATGTAGAACGATCAGGGTATTCAAATATAGCCAACAAATTGTTGACCTACTTTTGAGCTGCTCAAGGGCTTATAAAACCCAGATATGGTTATCATGATGGCAAGATTGAGTGCAATACACTTAAATAAAGATAAGCGATCTCAAATGAAATAAGCGGATAGCTATATTAATAAATAAATAACAATGAATTTAAAACCAAGTCAGAGTCTCCTTGTCATTGTCTTTAATTTGATTTCTATTTTTAAACTATTTTAACTTCCTGTTGCAAGACATTGAACTAGACAGGGTTGGGGGGCAGCCATGAGCTTAATCTAGTTTGTCTTCTCATTAATATAGCTCATCTCTTTTGATCTTTCATTTAAAGGTGAGGTGAACGGCTGGAACGTTCCAAAGACCAAAAAATGTTTTTAAACAAGTCATTAACTTAAAATGCATAATTTTAAATTACAAAGTGATATATTAAATTCCATGGTAGAAACTGACTCAACCTCCCTCTGAAGTGAACAAATTAAATTTTTTACTTTGCTTTCCAAAAAAATGACTTCTGTCCTCACTGGTTCATCCTGAGCACCCGCTGGTGGGGATGGCAGTAGAGCCTTTGATGTTGAAGTGGATCCACCTCAGTTCCTTTGTCCGATAGCCCTGGAGGTGTTTAAGTGGAATTATTGTCAGTGCTGCTTTTACAGATCAATGAACAGAGAAGGACAACGGTGTAAAAATCAGAAGATAAAACCTTATTTCGGTTATTCTAAATGATTCCATTTATTCTTTGACTTTAAAGAAGTCCAACAGATGTGTAGTAGTTAACATACACTTTGAATGTGACTAAACATCATTTTATCATGCTTTACAGCTACATTTTCCGGTTAAGCTGCACCAGATTGGGACAGTGGGCCATCGGCTACGTGACAGGGGACGGCAATATCTTACAGACCATCCCACATAATAAGCCCTTATTTCAAGCCCTGATTGACGGCAGCAGGGAAGGATTGTGAGTATGAGAAATGGGAGTCAGGGTGCTTATCATTCACCAAGTGAAAGACAGACACTGCTTTGCGATGGAGAGAAAAGATAGTGAAGCTCATGATCTGGCTGGTTTGTTTTTTTTATTTCAAGACTGAAGAATGGAGTGCTCCTGAGTTCTAATCGTTCTTCTTTTCAAATACTCATTTTAAAGTAACTGGTTTGAACTAAACTATATATGACAGCCAGTAAATTCCAGTATCAGATTAGAACATGCGTTTGTATCTTTCACAGGGGAAAAAAAAAGCACTTAAAAGTAGTTTAAAATAGATGAAAAAACTTATTAAAAAGATAATTCTTTACTTTTTTTTTTTTTTTTTTAATCAGAGAGAGAGAGGGAGAGAAAGCATGCAAGCACAGGCAGACAGAGTGGCAGGCAGATGCAGAGGGAGAAGCAGGCTCCCTGCCAAGCAAGGAGCCCGATGTGGGACTCGATCCCAGGACCCTGGGATCATGACCTGAGCCGAAGGCAGCCGCCCAACCAACTGAGCCACCCAGGCCTCCCAAAAAGATAATTCTTTAAAATAAATGACTTTCTCTTGCTTCGTGTAACCCTCAAGTTGCTAGTTTTCCTTTTTGTTTGACTACAAGTACCAGATTTTCTTTCTTCTTACGCTTTTCTTACCCCTTTCCCTGCTTTTTCTCTCTGTGTCTTTCTTCCTTTAGTCACACTGATATTCAGTCCCTATTCCAGAATTATATGTTAAGAGCTGAATTTAGTTTAACTTAAGCTATTCTTTTTTAAAATTTAAAAATAAGTAAATTCTCTTTTGTCTTTTAGAATAAGAGTGACTTTTTTTCTCCACAAAGTTTAGACCATCTGATAGGAGCCTTCCTAGTAAATATCTCTCATTTGTTTTAGTCCTGTGCCATTCCCTTCATCTTTTTATTCTCTTTTCTGTGTTGTTTTGTTCCATTGTCATATCATCATGCTCACTTTTCTTGACCTTTGCCCTTACTGAGTAACTCGGGGATGGATGTTCCTTTATTTGTTACAGCACAGATTGTGATAGAAACCTAGCAGGAGAAAGCCCACAAGAGTTAGCAAAGAGAAAATAATTTAAGTTACACCTTTTCTAATAATTGCAAAGAAGAATGAAAAAGTGATAGCATACATATGAAGAAAAAATGCATTTTTTTATAAGTTATGAGCTTTCAAAAAATAGTTACATAAGAATTGTATGGCAAACTGGTAACAAGTTTGTATTTCTGTTTTTTTAAACTTATCATACATTTGCTATCCTCAGTTATTTATACCTTACTTGTAATGCATCTAAGGATCATTTTTGTAACTTTGGATTCACTGTGATTACAGGATTTTGTTTTTAAGAAAATACGCTGTAAAGTTTTACTTTATAAATAGAGGTTATGAGTGAGCAACTCTGTACATGTATTAATTTTGATACCGCTTATTCATTTTGTTTATAATGCCTTCCATCTATTTTTTAAAAGCCAGTAAAAAAAACTAATTATAATATTGTGACCAGTAGTTTAGCCTCTGAACTCCAACGCAAATCAGATGTTAATATTTACACACACACATACACAGACACACACCCCTTCAGAGGCATTTAATTAGTTGAATTTGAACTTTAGTGATAGATTACATTAAAATAGGTCAGATTAACATTTTAATCTTATTTAAAACTAGATCAGATTTTAGATTTTATTAAAAGAGATATAATGGAATATATATTATGTCTATTTTAATATAGATATCTTTATATCTATATATCTATATAGATGTATTATATATCTGTATTAAAATAGATATATCAGATAGATTTTTTTTTCCTCTAAGATCAGTAAAACACAAGATATTATCTGATCTAGGTATCATCGGGGTCCGCTAATCCAGTATAGTATAACATAGGTAATTAAGAAGTTTACTTCCATAACAAGCTGAGATTCTTTATTCTTTGCCTGCCATTGAGAGGGTCTCAACAGTAGTACCCTTCTTTACTAAGGAGAATATACATTAGTTAGACCCTTTTAACCTTTCCTCTAGCAACCTCATTGTCATTTTTTTAATCTTTCCGATTTGAGTTCTTCATAGAATTTCTACACGCTTTTTAAGTGTGATTAGCAAAATATTATATAATAATTTTAAAACTGGCCATTATTTAGGGTATAAGAAGAAAGTTACTTATCAACTCTCACTTAGCACTCTTCACTTAATATTTATAATAATCCATCTCTAAAAACACTCTACATTTGTCATTTTAGATGTAGTCAACTCCCTTTCCTAAATTGTAATATATACATATAATATATATAAGTATATATTATAAATATATTTATATAAATTTATATAAGTATATTTATAGATATATATGTGTATATCTCACTAATCTATGGATTTGTGTCTTACCCTGCGAGAATACGAGAATTGTCTGTTCTTGAAGTTCATTTTTTTCTGGTCTTACTAGGTAAATTTTAACACTTACAAGCATATTTTTAGACTATTTAAGGTAAGTATTTTTTGTTACTTCACAGAACAGTTTTGGTATGGTTTTGCCCCTTAAAATACTGATCATAGTAGTAATATATTCTGAATTTTTCATTCAGGCAACCTAGAACAGAGTACTACCAAACAAAATTAACTCTGTAACTTAATCATTAACATGACCCAGCAGTAATATTACCATTTTTTAAAATAAAAAATAGGTATTTACCAACACCATAAACTTCATTTTTAAATCAATGTCTGAATGAATAAAACCTTTTAACAAGATGGCCTTATTGCTATAACTTTTAGTTCTTATTTTAATTTTTTGTAACAGTGGAGCCTCACATTTATAAATGATTCTGTGTTTGTAGCTAAATGAAACATATAATTGTAGCATTTTCTAATTTCTTTAAGCACGTGTGGAGGGGCGGGGGGACTCATGTGCACATAGGAGTGACCAGAAGGTGAGGTGGAAAGGCAGAGGATGGGAAACTGGAGAAACAGGAACCATGGAGGGGTTTGCATAACTTTTGTAGGAAATTTGCAGGCTTTAATTTCATTTTTTTCCCCTCATGTTATTAAGCATGTTGTTAAATGATGTATCTAATATTAACTGTGCTTCACACTTAAAGACACATTGCAAATAGGTGTTACATTCATAGTATTTTGGAATAGACCATGAATGACCAGAAAAATAAAATCATAACTTACCTAAAGGACCTTTAGTAAAGGTATTAACTGGAAATAGTTGCTTAGTGGCCAAGGCCATATTCATTATGTATTTCTTATATGAATATGATTTCTAGATTTTAAATGTCCTAAGATAACTGGTAATATTATGGAAACAGTGATAACAAAGTTTCTTGTAATAAATTACATAAAAAGGAAACTTCAGCATGTAGGTTTGAATATAGAAGAATCTGATTAAATGATCTTAGATGCAATTTAAGAATGTATATTTGTGGTAATAAGGTTTCTATTTATAACCCAGCTATCTTTATCCTGATGGGAGGAGTTATAATCCTGATTTAACTGGATTGTGTGAACCCACACCCCATGACCATATAAAAGTTACACAGGTAAGGATAATTTCTGGTAACCCCTTTATAATTGTTAAGTATCTAATGCTTTTGAAATAAAAAGCATCCTCTTATACTGTAGCTAAAATTATGTACAGGTGTTTCATGCAAAACATACTTTAAGGGATTCTAAGAGTGTTTGAAAAAAATACATTATTTTCTCCTTCTTTTGGATAAAAGTTTCTCTGTTAATATTCTTGCTTCCAATATAATATTGTCATTTATGCAGATAGATAGATAGGTAAATACATTGGTAAGTAAAATGATATGAGGAGAGAGCCATAGGTTTAGAAAACTCCAAGGAAGTTTAGAGTAATGATACGTATTAGCTTTTAGAGTCAAATTAGTACTTGAAGCTTATTGAAGATAATAATTATATTCTTATAAATCCGTCGTTGGCAACCTCATAGATTGAATGGGAGTGTAACTTAGTAAGCTTTTCTTAAGGGTAATATTCAGTTAATTATCAAAATCTAAATAAAAACATTTTTGACTCTGGATTCTGTATATATCACTCACATATACACAGAAAGATCTGTACATTGGGGTATTCACTTTAGCATTTTTCCTAAAAGGGAAAATTATAAACTATTTAATCATAGGTTAAGTAAACCATAGTATATTCATACTGCAGTGTACTGTAAAGTCATTAAGAGGAGGGAGGTAGCTCCACATAGTCACATGGGAACTTAGGCACCATTATTATGTAAAAAAGTTCCATTACTGAGAAGCTCAATTATGTAACATTTCATTTTGTAAAGTTACATTATATGTAAGTTCAATTTCTGAAAAGAAATAAAGGAAGAAAGAAATTACCATGTATGAACATATGAATATATTTTTTAAAAATAAAAATTAAGAAATACCAAACTGGTAATATTACTTAACTGAGGAGTTAAGAAGGTTTGGGGAATTAGGAAGAAGGTGAAAGGGAGAACCTGAGTATTTTGTTTTACATATATTCTAGTTTTTAAAATATTTTATAATTTATATATTTTTGTGCTTTGTATAATAAATAAGAACCAGAAATTATAGATTTGGAGGAAGACAAAAGGTAACTTTTTAAATTTTATTTCAAATTCTCCAGATTTCATCCCAGTGGTCTTGGTATTATTATGTGAAACATATTTGTTGACATATGTGTAGCTGATGGACGGTTTTTAAAGTATAAAATATATTTGACATTTTTTTAATTATGTAGTGATTCCTTATGTTTTAGTACATGTAAAAGGATACTCACAAAAGACAGTTCCTCTTTATAAAACCATGGTTTAAAAATACGTATTCACTATTTAATTCCATTAAATTATTCAATAAAATATTTCAAATAAAATATTTGAATAACTTACGGCTTTGGTTCCATTAAGTTTTGTATCTGTGCTTTTAGCTCATTGTAATTTTTTAATAATTGCAAATCGGTCATTTGGGTGTCATAACAATATAAATCCTTAGCTATTATTTTAGAGATTTCTGTGACTTCCAGTTTATTTTTAATTGCTTTGGATTTCTTTATTTTTCATCTTGATCCATTCTTGTCTTTTTTTTTCTTATTTTCTTTAAAGATTAAATAGTCACATATGTACACTTTATGGTGGACACAATTTATATATGAATGTGTGTGTATGTGCATGTGTATCTTTGTGTGTGTGTGTATATATATGTATATATATATTTTTTCACCCAGAGTATAAGATCTTTTAGTAGACTAGTGGTTAAATATTGTCACTTATTTATCATGCCCAGGGCTAGGTACCTAATAGAGACACTTATTACCTGAAATAATAAGTTTTTTAGTTAAATATTTATTTAACTAAATTTTTATTTCCATAATTCCTTTTTTTCTATCCCTATTAACATTTTTTCATATTTTCTTTACACATACTGATATATTTATATCTTCTTTGTGACATAGATCTTTTCAGTATTTGGACACCAAGAATTTTACTATGTCAAAACGTTCAAAACTAGTATATCAAGAGAATAGATATTTAATGAAACAATTTTTGGTTGCTGAAGTGATTAGTTTTCCTTACAGTACTGTATTGGGAAAAGAGTATGCAGTTTAGAGATTTGATACAGAATTTGAGGAAAACAATTTAAACTTGTTGAGCCTCAGGTATTTTTTTAATTCGATGTATCTTATTATGCCTTGGGGATTATATGAAATAATAAATGTGGACCACAGTCCACAGCATGCAAGAAGTGCTTGGCAATGCTGCTTCTCTTCTGTTCTGGAATTTCTAAAGGTATTTCGGAAATAAAATTTGATGTTCAGTCAGAGTCATATATATGTGTGTATGTGTGTGTGTGTGTGTGTGTGTGTGTGTGTGTATTTGCAATTTTACAGTAAAATTAGATGCATATGTGACACTGACAAACTAAAGTTACTTATAATCTCTAAACCGTAAGTTTGTCTTTTGAGACAAAGTTATTTAAAGTTTAAAGTTAAAGTTATTTATAATTTCTAAAACCGTAAGTTTGTCTTTTGAGTCACCATTGAAGCAAGTCCCTTCCTAAAGGAACAATACAAAACATTAAATAATCTGTAGTATTAAAAAAGCTTATACAATTACAGATAAAAGCTCAAATGTTTTAAAAAAAATAACTTTGTAGACCAAATTGTGATTAACAGTTTAAAACATGTCTTAAATGATAACATATTCCTGACAGGCTCAAGGGTGAGGAATTTACTGTAAGTCGTTGTACTTGAGAAAATTCAATATTAAGAGTTAATGTTAGAAATACGTTAACACTGCCTTTTTTTTCCCTTCCCAAATTCCAGGAACAATATGAATTATATTGTGAAATGGGCTCCACTTTTCAGCTCTGTAAAATTTGTGCTGAAAATGACAAAGATGTCAAGATTGAGCCTTGTGGGCATTTGATGTGCACCTCTTGCCTCACAGCATGGCAGGTATGATCCAGGTTTAAGGAGCAACACTGATGTCGTCCTTCTGTGCCCTCTTACTATTTTTCCTTGCAGCTTTTTTCATCTTAATGAGTCAGGAGATGGTCTGTTAAGTGCTTTCTTTGAGTAGTTGTTTAAAAAAATCTCATGTATTTGATTTTCTGTTTTATATAATTTCATTTTTTTGCTGTTTTATGTTGTTTCTTTTGCCTATATAATTTAATTTTAGGATTTAGCCATAAGTCATTGTACCTCAATAAATATAAATTGATTTAATGTTTTAGACTAAGATCTAGAGAATAATTGGCTTCCGTCAGGGCTTTCTTATATTTCTTTATCTGTAACAGAGGCTGGGGGGTTTGAAAATGGATCTTTGGACAAATTCCCAGTTTTGAGTATTTGAAGGAGTCACAGGATATTTTGATCAAGTCATTTTTTAACTGCTATTTAATACAGTCAATACTGAAGTCAATATTACTGATAGGGTTTAGAAAGCAAATAATTAAATTTTCAAACCTTTTTAAGACTTTGCTGTTGAGTATATAATTGACAACCTTACCCCATTCCTGAGCCATCTCAGTCCTTGATCTGTCCAACCCAGAATAGTCTCTTGAGACCACTGGTGCTGTTGAACTCATTACTTAGTAATTAAATACAAGGATTTTCACATTTTCACAATCTTATAAAAAAGACCTCCTTCTTCCTTTGGGGAGATTTGAGAAATGAAGAAAAAGAGGAAGAACAAAGAAATGAATTACAATTGACTTATGTTTTCTTTTCTTTCTTTCTTTTTTTTTTTAATATTTATTTGGGAGAGAAAGAGAGGAGAGACAGAGCGAGAGCGAGCGTATGAGTGGGGGAGGGGCAGAAGGAGAGGGAGAGGGAGAGAGAACACTTAAGCAGACTCCCCCTACTGAGCACAAAGCCCAACAAGGGGCTTGACCCCAGGACGCAGAGATCATGACCTGAGCCAAAATTAAGAGTCGATGCTCAACCTACCGAGACACCCAGGCGCCCCTGATTTATGTTTTCAGTGCCTGTTCTGAACTCCTAGAGATCTTTCCTACCTCAGTAAAAATTGTTCAGTATCCCTACAGTTGTCTTTTTCAGTATACATTTGGTTTATATTTTACTTTGGTTTTCCTTGATACCCATGCTCTAATTTCCCTTCATGATGTCGGTGAATTTTGTGCAATACGTGGAGAAGTTGGAGGAGGAGGTATGCTCAGTGTGGCATCAGCAAACTTACTCTCGCTGTATAGGCACTTGACTGCTATGTAAGTTATGTTAATTGTTCTGCAGACTTAACAGTGTTTTTTTATAAATGACTTTCAGTAAGTTTTTCTGGTAGAAGAGAGAACTATGTTTGCAAGTGTATTTCACATCAATCAATAGGAACTATTTCCAGGAAACTGACTCAGTGCCTGACTGACAGATGGGACTGTTATGATTGGCTTTACCTGATACCCATTCAGTATCTCAGGATAAATAGAAGGAAGTTGTGTTTGTCACCCCTTTGGGTTGACTTATGACTTTGAAGTGGTGGTATGGTTCTCATCGGTACAGAGAAGCTAAAAACTTTGTATTTCACCCTAAAGAGACCAGAATTTTAGGCTGAAACAAACTCCCAGTACTCTCTGGCCCCACAGATGGCCTATGTCTTTGGCCTTTACTCTTGGGGCCTCAGTCTGGGAGCAAGGACATGCATATGTCCCTATGGCAGGACTTAGCAGCTTTAACTTGATATCTGCGTAGTATTTGGAAGTTAAGTAGGTTAAAAGTCAGAAGCTCCCATTAGTTTGGCAAAATCTTTGCTCACTAAAGATTATTGTTGAAAGCATCATACAGAGTAGCTGTTTACCTTGTAGCCCAGAGTAAGTAAGAGAGTATGACTGAATATAAAACAGATTTTATTTTACTTTTTGTATACTTCTTGAAAGAAACCTATGTTCTACAATTTCAGGGACAATACAACACATTTTATGTAGTAAAGTTTGTGAACTCTTTGCAATAAATAAGTACGTTGTATGCCAAAGACCCAAGAGAGTTTCCTTGTTGCCAGGGCTGTGTTATGAATCCTTTGTCCCTCACATCACCACAGCTTTTCTGTATATTACTGTGCATTCTCCAAATAGTACAGTTCCTCTTGCCAGCAGCTAATCAGTTCCTTGATTCACTTCATGATTTTTCATATTGGTCTAATGGCCTTAGGTAAAGATGTGCCCAATCATATTGTAAATTGTCAACATTCACTTTTTTTTTTCTTTATTAGTCTGAAATACTTCTCAGTTTTACTTTTAGAAATTGAGGAAGTGCATAAATTGCCAAGCACTGATGACTTAGTCTTTGAGTAAAGTTTCAAGAGAAGGTCATCAAGAAGTAGTGGTTTACTAAGTGAAGTAGGAACCAAAAAATAACAAATACAAAAATACTCAGAAGGTTGAAATAATGCTCAAATTTCATCAGACTCCTGCTACTAGCAAATAATGTGATTATTTTAATCTGATCAAAAATTTTGCGTATAGGTTAATGAAAAATATTCAAAAGCATTATTTCAACATTATTTTTTTAATTCTTCCCACACAAGACATGCTGTAATTATAAATATTCTTCTGATACATTTTGTATATGTCCCTGTAAACTCTTACCTCATTGTATTTGTACTGTAAACATTACGTATTTACCTGTTTCTCTTCAAGAACCTAATTGGAATCCCTTTCTTCTAGCGTGCTACCGGCCTCCTCCGTGGTAGGTACTTAGTAAATGTTTATGGACTGTATGCTAGGTAGTGTAAAGAGTAGACTTAAGATTACATTAAAAAGATGTTAAATAGATAAATTGGATAAATTGTTGATATAATAGATCAAATGTCTTAGTTCTGTTCATTTTTTTTGAGAAAATATCTGTATTTTTTTCAAATACCTTTTATTATGCCCAAGATCTGAAAATAAGTTCTAAGAATTTTAAACCTAAGATCCATTTGTTCCATTCAGTAGCTGCTGGATGATTCCCTTCAACTTTTCACATTTTGATTTTGTCTACTTATTTTTGAGGCACGTTATACTGTTACCACTTGCAATAATACTGGCACTAAGCTAGAGGCAGTAAAACTGTGAGTTTCTCTTTATTACTTTTTTACATCAAGAAGCATTGTATGGTGATCCCTGGTTCAAGTTTTCTCTACCCTGAAGAAAATTGTTCTTAGGCCAAGGTTTGCGAATTGCAAAGTGCTATTCAACACTTGTTCTATCTCAGTGGGATCTTAGAAGTTAAAGGAAGCATCAATTTTTGAACATTTCCACTTTGGGTTAACCTGAATATTCCTACCTTTACATACAGATTTCACAAAGTGGTGCTTCCTGCCAACCAGCAGATCTGTTTTGGCTGTTTTTATATAATATGGGTAGCAGTGTTTGACAATCATTTAAGCATGTTATTGCAAAATGCCCGTTACTTAATAAAAACAAAATTCTTATAACTTACAACGTTAATCCGGTTAAAATGCAGTGACAAACCACAGATACTCTAAAAGCCTCACATTGGGACCTCAGTAAGCTGCTCACAGGACTTCAGCTAATCGATGGTGAATATGAGAAGTAAAAAAAAACAGTTAGTGAACATTTTCATAGTTCTGCAGGATATTGTCAAAGGTTGTATCTAAACCTGTTAGATGCAATGGGAAATGTTGTATGACCATGAAGTCTGGACATGACTCCAAAGGGCAATATATCTCTCTTTTTCAGTGTTCTCTTTATTCAAACTGGTACAGAGCTAGAGTCCATATTTTCTGACTTTAAAGCCCTTCTTTTTTTTTTTTTTTAGATTTTATTTATTTATTTGACAGAGATCACAAGTAGACAGAAAGGCAGGCAGAGAGAGAGGTGGGGAATCAGGCTCCCTGCTGAGTGGAGAGCCCAAAGTGGAGCTCGATCCCAGGACCCTGAGATCATGACCTGAGCCGAAGGCAGAGGCTTAACCCACTGAGCCACCCAGGCACCCCGTTTTAAATCCATTCTTTTTGTTTTATATGCTTGTTTATTTTTTCTATTAGAGGACAGGTTGTTTTCAAACTTAATTAGGCATAGAGATCATTTGTTACTTTACTTGGTGGGAACAGACATGGATTGTTTTATCCATCATTCTGCAACATCTCAAATCCATATACTTATCCATATATTTAGGAAATGTTCCTGGGCAGCTGCTGTGTCCCAGGTTCTGTACTAATCTCTGAGCTAGGAAGAACACAAGACCCAGGCCTGACCCTCCAGAAGGTAAAATTAAATCTGAAAGTTTTATAAAGGGGCATGGTATTAATAGTCATTACTTGAAATGAACATCTTGTTATCATTCAAATTTAATTATAGATTCGAGACATCTTTTGTTACTTTTTGCTACTTTGGATGGGCATGCTTATTGGAAAAGGATTTTAAAGGTTGCGCGGCCGCCAAGAAGCTCTGATAAATCAGTCAGAGTCCAATAGGAAAGAAATATTAAACCCTGACCATAAAACATTATGTGTTCAGCCAGGGTGCATTTTTAGCAAGTCATTCTTCACCAACTTTTCCTTCCATTTGTTGCCCTACTTTGGTTTAATTGAATTCATTGGAAACTGAAATTTTATGTAATTAACGGAAACCCTCAGAAATGCATGGTCGCCGTGTCATTTAGCTGTTCCAGGCGGCGAGTCGTTACCCTTTCATTTCTGTCCTAATGGCCCATTAGTCATGCCTCTGAAGAGGTGTCACATACTTTTTTCTCCTTCTGAAACATCTGTGTTATTTAATAAATTGAATAAGCAAGCCAGAGTTTGAACAGAATACTAAGTAAGTTGAATAATCACCTCTCTGGAGACCTCCTTTGAAGCAGTATCACTCTGGGTGCGGCAATAAAACTCGCAGTTTTCTTTCACCTCCTCGCTATTCCACAAAACATTTTTCTTAAAAAAACATTTTTCCTTCTGCATCCAGAACTCCTCCACATCTTTTTGTAGTAGCATATTGCCCAGC